GAGAGAGAGAGGAGAGAGAGAGAGAGAGAGAGAGAGAGAGAGATTGAGAGAAGAGGAGAGAGAGAGAGAGAGAGAGAGAGAGAAAGCTTTTCTTTTCTCTGACTTCGATAGTTCGGGTGCATCCGATGATAGTTTCCGAAATTCTGCTTTTGGCGATGCGAGGTATAGGAGCACAGGAGAGGTGAGTCATCCAGTACGCGAACAGGGTCCTGGACAGGGTGCGTGGGCTGTCCCTCTCTCGGGCCCTGCTTTCCCTCTCTGCCCTCACCCTCTCCCCTCTCTCGGCTCTCCTCTACCTCTCTCTCGCCGCCTCTCCGCTCTGCTCGGGGCCCTCTGCCTCTTACCTCTCTCGGCCTCTCCCTTCACCTCTCTCGCCGGCTCTCTCCCTCGCTGCTCCCTGCACCCTCTCTCGACCTCTCGCTCTCCTGCTGCTCCGCTCTCTCCCGCTCTCTCGCTCACCCTCTATCCGCCTCCTCTCGACCGCCTCTCTCCGCCTGCTCTCGCCTCTCTCACCTCACCCCTCTCTCGTCCTCTCCGTCTGCCTCTCTCCCCTCTCTCCGCGCTCTCGTCCGCCTCTCTCCCTCACCCTTGTCTCCCTCTCTCCCCGCTGTCTCGGTCCCTCTGCTCGCCCCTCTCTCTCTCGCTCACCCTCTCCGCCGCTTCTGCTGCCCTCTCCATACTCTGGCGCTCACTGCAGCGTGGTTGATGTACGCTCACGCACAGCTACTCTATATATGGACCCAATCCCGTCCAATCCTATTTAAAATATATTGACCCATATATGTTTAACCCATATTTGACACTACATTTGACCCGTTCGTAATCCATCCTCCCTTTCCGCCTCGTGGGGGGTCGATAATATATTGACCCTCCCATTTCCTGGTGATCGCCTCCCTTCTGAGTGGGTACTGGTAGTGTAATGACCTCAATCCTACGTGATGTTCTAACCCCCGGGGCATGTCTTGACACCCCTCACCCCCGCCCCCTTTCCGGCGAATGTTTGAACTCTCCGAGATGCTCGCCCGGTGCGGAACAATATCGGCCTTAATGCTGTATGCCTGGAGGATCAATAGAAGAGATTCGCATTGCGGAGGCGGGCGCGGTGCGTGTAAATGTGCTGCTGCACGACTGTGCTGCTGCAGATGAATCCCCACGCACGCACCGCACGCACGCACGCAGGCAGCGCACGCGACGCGAACGCACGGCACGCACGCAACGCACGCACGCACGCGACGCGCGCGCGAGCAGCAGGCAGGCCATGGGGCACGACACACGGAGCGGGCACGCAGCGCACGAAGCACGCAACGCCGCACGCACGGCAGCTATGGCATGCATACCACCGGAGCGGGCAGCGCACGCACCAGGCAGCCATGCACGACAGGACAGGGCGCGGCACGTCACGCACGGCACACGACAGTTTTGCGAGGAATGTTGCTGAAGAAAGCGCCCGCCGGGCTGCGCGCAGTCCTTGTAAAACAATGCTGTATGACGGGGGAGTTTGTTCTTGTCGTCACATTTGGCGGTGGGTGACACTGGCGACCGTGCTTCGTCGTCAATAAATCCTCGCTCAATACGCCCCCCACCGACCCGCCAGCATTCAATGACCGGCCTCCAGGCAGAGTGAAGCCATTTGGCGTGGTCCGGCCGGTGCTGCGCGACTGTAACCTGCTGCTGGGCTGTTGTTGCTGATACTGGGCTGCTACTGGTGGTGGTTGGTGCTGCTGACTGATGGCCTGCTTGTTGTGCTGATACTGCTGGCTGCTGTTGCTACTGTGGTGGTGTCGCTGTGCGCGCTGCTGGCTGACTGCTGCTAGCTGTGGTGGTGAGTGGCTGATGCTGGGCTGCTGTTGTTGTGCTGATACTGCTGCCTACTTGTGGTGGTGGTACTTGTGGCTGGGCTGCTGGTCATGCGCTGCTACTGGCTGCTACTACTACTGCTGCTGCTACTGCTTGGCTACTGGGTGGTACTACTGCTGCTGGCTGCTGCTGCTGCTGCCTACTGCTGCTTACTGGCTGCTACTACTGCTCACTCCCCCGGCTGGCTACTGCTAGTGGTGGTTGCTGCTTATACTGCTGGGCTGCATGCTGCTACTGCTACTGCTGCTGCTGGGCTGGCTGCTCGCTGGCTACTGCTGCTACTACTGCTACTGGCTGCTACTGCTAGTGGTGGTGCTGGCGCTGGGCTACTCGCTAGCTCGCTGGGCTGCTGCGCTGCTGCTGCTGGTGAGGCGTGCTCGATTGCTGACAATGGCAGATGTTTACGAGTGGTCGCGCGCTGCAAGCCGTGTGTAATTGGCCTTGTGTCTGCGGCTGATGCGCTTGGCGACTCGCTCTCTCCTTCTCTGCTCTGCTCTCTCGCTCTCTCTCTATCTCTCTCTCTCTCTCCTCTCTCTCTCTCTCTATCTTCTTCTCTCTCTCCTTCTCTCTTCTCGCTCTCGCTTCGCTCTCTCTCTCTCTCTGCTCTGCTGCTCTCTCCTCATCCTGCTCTCTCATCTCTCTCTCGTCTGCTCTCTCTCGGTCTCTCTTCTCTCTCTCGTCTCTCTCTTCTCTGCAGCGTGTCTTTCTGCTGTTTGCTGTCTGCCATTGCTCTGCTCTCTCATCTGCTAGCTGCTCTCTCATCTCTGCTCTCTCTGCTCTCTGCTCTCTGCTCTCTGCTCTGCTGCTCTCCTCTATTCTGCTCTCTCTGGCTCTCGCTCGATTTCTGCTCTCTCTTCTCTATTTCTCTCCGAGTCTCTTTTCTCTCTCTCTCGCTCTGCTCTCTCTCCTCACGTCTCCTCTCGTCTTTCTTTCTCTCTGCTCGTCTGTCTCTCCTGCTCCTATGACAAATATTGTTGTATGTGTTGTGCGCATCATAGGAGTTTAGGAGCGCTATTATGAACGCAAGCAGTGAATTTCAGCTGTAAAGCGAAACGAAGTTGACTCGCCAATATTTGTCTTAGGAAGAATCTTCCTATGACAAATAGTTTCATAGGAGAGCGTATATATGCGTATGTCGTATTTGCCAAAGATGCAAGCAGAACATGTTGACCACTACAGCCTTGGATGCGTAAAACTGACAACGAACGCGATTTTGCGTTCACGCGTAAAAACGTGTCTCTGTGTCTTGACCAGCCTAGTCTTTGCGTGTGAGCGTTGTGTATGAGGAGGAGGAGGAGGAGGAGGAGGAGGAGGAGGAAGAGGCAGGGCGCAGTTTTAGTCATACATTCTTGCTGATTGGAAACGCATGGATGGAATTAACGGCTGGGTGAAAAAATGATTCTCACGTCATCTCGAGTGTGCGAGCGAATTCGTAAAACTGGGGAATTTTAATACGTACGTTTGTAAATATGTGTGCGCGAGTGCGTGCGTGCATACGTGCATACATGTATGTGTGCGTGCATGCGTGCGTGCGTGCGTGCGTGCGCTCGTGCGTGTGCGCACGTACATGCGTGTGAGCACGTACACGCGTGCGTGCGTGCGTGCGGGCGTGCATGCGTGCGTGCGCCTGCGTGCGTGCATACGTGCATACATGTATGTGTGCGTGCGTGCGTGCATGCGTGCGTGCGTGCGTGCGTGCGCTCGTGCGTGCGTACATGCGTGCGCAGGCAGATAGAACGTTTCAATAGTAAAATGATGGTAAATAAACAAGAAATGTATTTACTACCAAAGTCTGAATGTTTATCTACTCCCTTTTTCGCCTATTATTGCGGATAGATTCCTGTAAATGCCGTTCCTATGCTCCTCTGCAACACATGAGTACACCGCACGCACGCCGCTGTGCACAAACAACAAGAATAAAGAGCTTTTTCGTTATTTGTATTCTTTTCTCTTTATGCTTGTTGTTTGTGCACAGCGGCATGCGTGCGGTGTACTCATGTGTTGCAGAGGAGCATATATGAACGGCATTTACAGGAAGCTATCGGCAATAATAGACGAAAGGGAGTAGAGAAACATTCAGACTTTGGTAGTAAATATACTTCGTGTTTATATACCATCATTTTACTATTGAAACGTTCAAAGTGTCTGTGCGTGTGTGTGCGCGCGTGTGTGCGTGCGTGCGTGCATGCGTGCGTGCGTGTATGGTATGCCGCGATACGGAGTAAACCGCGACTTTTATGCCGATCACGTGACGTGTGCCACCGCGATTAAATATTTCATTGCTGAATCGACATTTCCGCTCGAAATTTCGTCGATGCAAAACGTGGCAATAATTTGCAAATACGTCAAGGTTGGCGACGGGGGGGGCGCTGTCGTAGGATGTGCGTACTGCGTGCGAGGGAGTGTGAGTGCGGGGAAAAAATTCGGTGGAAACTGTGCCTAACGTAAAGTAGTACGTCAATGAAGCCCTAAGTATATATATATATATATATATATATATATTTATAGCTATATACCCCCCTCCCGCGCAGACACATTATTGTTATAGAAGAGTATATTAGGTAGACACTTACCAACGTTCGTAGCAGAAGCCGTGGGTGATTGTTGATGCTATTGCGATCTGTCGTGGCAACCTCCCACGCGTGTGTTTGACGCATCCACGTCGCTTCACTTCCTCCTCTCCTCTTCTTCTTCTCTCTCCTCTCCTCTTCTTCTTCTTCTTCTCCGCCGATAGAGGAGGATGATGATTAGGTTGTTAGCTGCGTGGTGTTGTTGTTGCTGGGTGTGTCGATGTATGGCTGAGTGTTAATTTGCGATTAGCTGGAAGTGGGCGCCGCCGCCCCCGCGCTTTCCAGTGGGTCGTAGGTACTCGCCGTGGTGAAGTGACAGTTTGCTAGCAAGTGGTTGCATCCTAAGCGTTCGTTTCAGGGCTAATGGAAGCTTAGAGGAAGTGTTTGTGTGTGTGTGTGTGGTGGGGGGGGGATCGTGTGTGGGTGTGTGTGTGTGTGTGTGTGTGTGCGTGGCGTCGCGTGCCGTAGCGCGTGCGTGTGTGCGTGCGTGTGTGTCGTGGTGGCGGCGGCGTGTGTGTGTCTGTCTGCAGTCACCGCTGCTCTCTCGACGCATCAATTGGCTTCCTTCGGCAGGTGGACATGCCCGTGTTCTTCTAGCATCGCCTGACCTTCAGCCGACGATCCCGCATGAGCATGTCGACACCCATGACCCTCTCCTACACATTCTTCCGAGCAAAGGAAGGGCTGCAGCTGCCAATGCCTCTCAGCAGATAGGCGAAGAGAAGGAGGAGGAGGAGAGGAGAAAGGGGGCTGCAGTACTGACGCTAGATAGCGAAGAGAAGGAGGAGGAGAGGAAGGAGGAGGAGGAGGGGAGAGAGAGGAGGAGGAAGAGGAGGAAGGAGAGCCTGCGCAGCTGCCCAATGCGTCTGCCCCAGATATAAACGAAGAGAAAGGAGGAGGGAGGAAGAGAGGCTGCAATCTGCTGATTACTCCCATGAAGTGCGGCACATTAAAGCTCAACTGAAGTGCATGCCATAGTTGCCAGCGACGTGTGAGATGTTGAACTATGGGGCTAACATGACGCAGATCAGATAGCAAGAGGCAAAGCCTAGTGGCAGAGACTGCTACCAGCACCCCGTGTTGTGCGAGATACAAACTCACGAGTGTCTGTTATTGTCACTTATATATAAAGCGAATGATGTATAGCACACGTGTTTTTGATGAGGATATGAACTTGGTGTCTCTTTCTCTCTCTCTGTCCTGTGTCACTTGTATTACTTCACTTCACTTACTTCACTTGTATTGTGTTCCGACTTTTATGTGTTAGATATAGTGGTGGTTGGTGGTGGTGGTGGTGTGGTCGTGTGGTGGTGGTGGGTGGGTGGTGGTGGTGGTGGTGTGGTGGTGTGGTGGTGGTGGTGGTCGGTGGTGGTGTGAAGAGATAGAGAGCGTAGTAGTGTGGTGTGAGGCTAGCGCGTGTGTTGTGCTGTGATCGTACGTGAATTGGGTCAGTCTCGATCTCTCTCTCTCACTCTGGGTGGTAGATCTAGATTGGCTCGCAATCAAGATGTGATTGTGCGCCGTTAGTCGTTAATTAGCTGTTACACGCGAGTGTGGAGTGGACTAGTCATCAGCATGGGTCAGTGGCAGTGGACAGGATGTGTCAGTAGACAGTGGATACATGGTATAGCAGTAGCACCGGTCATGCTATCCATCAGAGGCATTGCTAGTGTCTGGGATCATGGATAGAGGAGTAGGCCCTGGATCACCATAGTTTTCAGTCGCGACTGTTAACAGTGATTTTATATTTAACTAGACAGAGTGCACTCGCGGGGAGTCGGCGACATACGCCATACGCCATAGGACTCACGAACACATGAATAACCCAGGATATAGGCCAGCGTACTGACATGTAGACGCTGGCTTGCTGGCTTGCTGCTAGCTCACATGTACACGCTCGCTGGCTCGCTGCGCTGGCTGACTGGCTCGCTGACTCGACCCACTAATATCGATCGCGCGAACACACGAACACACAAACACACTAACGCACGAGAGTGATCACATAACCTCCTCCAACTCCGTTGGGCGGAGGTAATAACCCGCTATCAGGCGGACACCTGCCCCTCTCTTCTCACTTCTCTCTCTCCCTCTCTCTCACTCTCTTCCCTCCCCCGCGATTTACATACTCGTATTTCATCGTTACGCGCGCGCTTGAGCGGTGTTTGACATCACAGGCACTTGGAGCGTTTCAATAAAAAGAATGCTAAATAAATACGAAATCTATTTCCTACCAAAGTCTTAATGTTTCTCTACTCTCTTTCGCCTATTATTGCCGACAATTTCCTGTATATGCCGTGCAAATGCTCCTCTGCAACACACATGTACACCGCGCGCGCGCTGCCGCACACGGACACACAGACTCTCTCTCTCTCTCTCTCTCTCTCTCTCTCTTTAACTCTCTCTCCCTCCGCCCCCTCTCTCTCTCTCTATCTCTTTAACTCTCTCTCCCTCCCCCTCTCTCTCGCCGTCACCCATGACGATTTATCACCGGCGGGCGGATTGCGTTTGCGGCCGGGTCGGGTCGGGGCGCGGTCG